TAGTAGTAGTGGTAGTAATAGTAGAATAGTAGTAGTAGTAGAAGTAGTAGTAGTCGTAATAGTAGTCGTCGTCGTAGTAGTAGTAGTCGTCGTAGTAGTAGTAGTAGTATTGGGATAAGTAGTAAGTACAAAGTAATAAGTAGTAAGTAGTAAGTAGCAATTAGTAAGTAGCGAGTAGTGAGTAGTAAGTAGTAAGTAGTAAGTAGTGAGTAGTGAGTAGCAAGTAGTAATTGTAGGTAATAACGAGTAGGTAGAAGGTAGTAAGTAGTAAGTAGGAAGTACTAAGAAGTGAGTAGTGAAGAGTGAGTAATCAGTAGTAAGTAGTAAGTAGTGAGTAGCAAGTAGTAATTGTAGGTAATAACGAGTAGGTAGAAGGTAGTAAGTAGTAAGTAGGAAGTACTAAGAAGTGAGTAGTGAAGAGTGAGTAATAAGTAGTAAGTAGTAAGTAGTAAATAGTAAGTGGTAAGCAGTAAGTAGTAAGTAGAAAGTAGTAAGTAGTAAGTAGTAAGTAGTAAGTAGTAAGTAGTAAGTAGTAGTAGTAGTAGTAGTAGTAGTAGCTGTAGTAGTAGTAGTAGTAGTAGTAGTAGTGGTGGCAGTGGTAGGAGTGGTAGTAGTGGTAGTAGTAGTAGTAGTAGTAGTAGTAGTGGTGGTAAGCAGTGGTAAGTAGCGGTGAGTAGTGGTAAGTAGTGGTAACTGGTGGTAACTAGTGGGAGTTTCTAGTAGCAGTAGTGGTAGTAGTAGTAGTAGTAGTAGTAGTGGTAGTAGTAGTAATATTGCATTGCAACCGTCTCACCGATCCGATGATTCGACGAAAGGCAGGCATTGCCCGGCAGCTCAGATGGCTGCATCCTTCGATTGAGGATCCTTGTGGCATGACTTCTACCTATAAATTCTGATTGCACATCAAGATATCTCTCCGAGCTGGTCCATGGTTTCCTCAACAAAATCGCCGACTGCTCTCGTCCGGTCTGCAGCTGACGTTCAATCCAGCATATCAAAATCCAGTTGTTCACCATCCCTCTTGCGAGAGATAGTGATCATGCCGGATTCCGAAGGTCTTCCTTGTTGCTCACTGCCATCCGTGATGGTAGCCTTAGCAGCGTCTGAGCCTCTTGCCATGCCAGTATCACTCTGTTGATAACGTCCATCCATGCTGCTTCCGGATTGCACTGTAGCTGGCAGAGCAATACCTGCTGTAACGTCCTGTGCCCCGGTAGGGAAAGTGGTAGGTGCTCGCTGCACCCCTCTCGCCTGCCTCCGAGCACATCGTACAGTATGAAGTTGCCCTCCCGAATGCTTGCACGAGGAGCAGCAGCTGATGTGTCCTGGGCCAGCCTGGTGCGCGCAGCCCTCCGTTGCGCACCGGCTGAAACCCGGCCTAGCCTCCGCCCAGTGGGTATGCTGACATCTCCGTGTGTGAAAGCCATTGGGACATGCCGAGCAGCATTTGGAATGCCCTGCCGTGTGTATAGCCCTACCACACCCCGGCACGGCACAAATTTGCTGCCTGG